CTTTAAATTTTAAAATACAAATTGACTCTTAAATTAATCTAATATATAAAGTGTATTAATGACTTAGCATGTATGTTTAGTTAAATGTGAGAACTTATCACTTAAATCATTTTAAATTTTATCAATATTAGGCTATATTTTGCTCTTTTTGTTTTTTAATTTCTAAATATGATTTTTTTTACCTAAATAATTATACTTTTTTTATTAATCTACTCCTTTGGTCCTATTTATCTAGCAGAGAAAGAAGATTAATCTTGGTCCTATTTTTAGAATAATTCACTATTTTTTATGTTCATCTTTACCTTTTAGCCCTTCTTAAATGATAGAAAAATATTAAAAATAATTTTTTTTTCTTATTGGGGATAGAGATGAAAACTTATTAAATTTTAAGAGAAAAGATAAAAAATTTACAGTTTTTTTTCTAGTAAATATGCTAAGAATAACATATAAATACGTCTAGAGAAAGTACATGATTATCATCAATATTTTGTTATTTATGTCAAGTGATTTTAATTGTGTTACTTCTTATTTAAACAATAAGAACCAAATCAATAAATGAGAGTATGAAACAAATTTAAATGACCAAATTAATATAAATGATACTTAAAAAACTAAATCAATAATTGAAATAAACTTAAAAGATTAAGGGTCTGTTTGTTTTTTGTTTTTGAAAATAACAAAATTGAAAACTTGTTTGGAAAATTGTTTTTAGTTTAATTGTTTCCAAAATTATTTTCATTTTTTGTTTTCAAAAAAAATAAATAAATTATTTCAAATTGTTTGATTTTATTTTTTTATTTTTTAAATACATTATATTTGATTATTAAAAATTATAGTTCTCTTGATTAATTTTTATCATAAATTACTATTATTAACCGCCTATAACTATTTCTATTAGTTTATTTTTTAATTTCAAAATTGGTTTTAAAATTAATATAACTAAATGGTTTTTCATTTTTTTTTTGAAAAATAATTTTAAAAAGGTATTGTAACATAGTTTTTAAAAATAAAAAAATGAGAATAGAAACCAAACATGCCCTTATAAGTTCCATTATTCCTAAAGTTAATCAACTTTAAAAAAGAAATTACTTTTGAATATTATGCAAGTCTTTAGATATAACTAGATTTCATACCCGTGCAAATCCAAATTGTTTAAGAGAAATGGAACAGAATAATGAAAGTAAAATTTTATCAATTTTTTTAAAAAAGACATGAAAAAACTACTATAGCTTTTTATTTTTTTAATAACTTCTATTAATTATATTTTTTATTCCCAATCTAATATTAGAATTTTTTTTCTTTATTAGAACATATAAGTATAAATACTGATTATGTTATTTTCATATAATATACAAGAAATATTTCTAATGTTTTATTTTAAAAATGTAAGATATTTTTAACCAAATTTTGTCCTCAATGTAGTAGTTAATTATCTTCAAACCAATACCATCTTTTCATATTTATCCTTATTTAATAGAATATTTTTTAAAATAAATATAAAATAATTTATTTATTATGAAAATTTGAAAAAATATTAATTACATCTTAGAAAACTAAAAAATTTTTACATTTTTTAACATTCTACATTCAACTTCTAATCCTTTTAAAAAATATCTTATATTTTTAAATGAGAAAATACAATTTAAATTTTAAAAATCTAAAACATAAAATATAATTTTAATTTTAATTTATCTAACTAAAAATTAATTTTTTAAAGTAGTTTTAATTTATAAAAAAATTAAAAAAATATTTGCTTTATATGGCACAGTAGAAATCCAGTGCCAATTCGATGCAAATTACAAAGGAGGATGATATGACGACAAAAATGACACGAGAGTAAAGAGTTATCAAATAACAAAATTTTAAAATTTTAGGAGAAAAACTTAACATTGGCTCTGTCCCAAATTATATGATATTTTTAAAAGAATTTTTCTATCTCAAAATATAAGAATTTTGAATAGATTAAGATTTCATTAAATACATTAATTTCAATATCACCATCTCTCTCTATAATTAATTTTCATCCCTTCTCTTTTTAATATATTAAATAATAGATATTTTTGAAATTTTGTATTTTTATTTTAAAAAGATATGATTGTTATGTGTATTTAATGATATTTATTGATATGTAAAATTTTATTTAAAGATATCTTATAATTTGAAATGAAGAGAGTATATACTCAAATACTAGCCTAAGATATGTCAATAAAAAAAAATTTAAGGACACAGTTAAATATAAACATGAATATAAATAATGACTAAAGTCGTAGGGGTGAAATGAGTTGTAAATAAAAGTAAAGGATTTAATCCATCAAATGTAATAAAAAAAATAGGGAGATTTTCAACTAAAGACCGGGGATATGGCTTAATTGTTAATTTAGTTCAATCTAGGAGGAATGAAAAGAAAATAATTTTAATAATAAAAAGATCAAAGTACCATTCACTTGTTAATTAATTTTATCCAAAATGTAGAATTATTAATTATTAATTTTCTTACTTCACTTATTAATTTATTAATATGAGTTGTAAATTATATAACTTAACATTTCAATAAGCACACAAGACTTGACCATCAGTTTGTCAGACAAGTACTAATATCAGTTATTAATTTACTTACATCAATTGTAATTTCCATTAGTTGCAATTAACAATTAAGTCACATTCCTAATCTTTAGTTGAAATTCTCCCTAAAAATAATACAAATAATCATATAATTTTAACAAAAAGTCATAACGCACAAAGAGAGAGGAAAAACTAAAAAAATAAACCTTCATATCTCATGGTTTAGTATGAGAAGGTTAGTTGGACGAAAATTATATGGCAAGAATTTGAAAGGGTACCCCTTCCATTCCAATATATATAAACTATTTGGGAGATATTTGGGGCCTTTAGAAAAGCTTGAATTTTTTATCACAAGTACTTTGAGGTTCTTCATCTTCAAAAATGCCTTTCCACTCCATGGAATTTCTTTATCATTGGGCCTGTCTAGAATTATGACGTCGATTGCATCTGTTTCCTTTCGAAATGAAAAGCACATAATAAATGTCATATTTTAGGTATGCAAAAGGCATATAAGGAAAAAAAAATTTAAAGAGAGTAAAGTATAAAGTATATAAAGGTCTTACTGTGTTTTTTTCTAAGACATGAAGAATGTCACCATAATGCCATAGCCTAAAACATTTACCAAGCTCTTTTGGTGATTGTTGTCTAACAATTTCTTTTCTCATGTCTTCTATCAAATCATGCATTATTACATAATCTTCTTTAATCTTTATGAGAGATTTAACTATCAACACTCCAATAACATATGTTGGTTGGACCCCTCGAAAACTCAGCAACTTATTTATAACATCTAACTTCTCACCATTGAAAAAAACAAGCAAAGTCAAGAAAAATTTCCTTGTGGCTTTCTTCTAAAGCATCATAGCTTAGTTTGAGGACTTTGAAAATTTTTTGAATTGGATTTCTTTCATATTTATCTAATGCAGAAACCCACTCATCAACTCTCTTACCACATAAGTTGGAGCCAATCACTTCCAAGGTTAATGGAAGCCCACATGAATAATGTATTACATGACGAGTAACTTCAATGTAATCCAAATCAACATTGTCTTCGTGAAAAGCATTCCAACTAAGCAACTGGAGAGCTTCCTCATCATTTGATTTACTAACTTCATAAATTATTTCAATCCCATAACTTACTAACAACTATTTATTCCTAGCTATAATGATGTTTCTACTCCCAAAGACAAACCAATCACATCGTCCAATTAGTGCTCGTAACTACTCCAATTCATTAACATCATCAAGAATTAAAAGAATCTTCTTTTGTTGGAGCCTATGTGCTATGATTGAAATTCCTTTACAAACATCTTCCAACCTAAGATCCTTCTCCCTTACTAATTCATAAAGCAATCTCTCTTGAAGATGTGACAGACCATGCTTGATAGAGAGTTCTCTAAAATTAGAAAGAAAGCATAGTTTTGTAAAATGATCAGCAATCAAGTTATACATAGCTCTAGCAATTGTCGATTTACCTATTCCACCAGTTGCACAAATTCCTACCATTTTGACATCCTCATTAGATTGAAGATCTAAAAGTAATGTTACTTGTTGCACTCAAGGGACAAGACCAATTGGATAATCAGTGACATGTAATGAAGTACGATTAATCATGGCAGAGACTTCATTGATGATCCTTCTAATAAACTTAGACTCTTTTGCAATCTTAGTCAATTCAGGAGAAATTCACCTTTAGTCAAACTAAAAAAAATGATGTCGGATTTTTTTTTTCTTTTGGTGGGAAGCTTCCTTACCCTCCACATTCCTCACATTAAGAAACAATCACATTCCCACGCAAATATTTAATCATAGATTTGTTGTTAGATTATAAGAAATTTAAAATAATGTACTTGGTAACTTAATCAAAATTAATGGAAAATATTTAAATCAATATTGTCTTAAATATATTGTTAGTATATATATCTATGGTTATCATTAAAAATCTTTATTGCACAAATTAATATTATTGTTCGTGAATTATTTATAGCACTAGTTGTAAAGAGATGCACCTGTTTGGTTCTGATTTCTAAATTAGCTCAAACTATTAGAAATGGATACTCTCCATACTCTCTTTCAATTAATCTCTTCATACTTTATATGATTTATTCGTTTTAATTATTTATTTAGTTTAATGGTGCAAGATTGTTAATTATGACATTAAAATAAATATAGTATTTCTTATTATTACATAAATGCTTTAGAAAATAAGATCATAATACTTCTTCATGGTAGTTATTGAATGACTAATATATTTATTTTAATGCCTAAAATAAGTAATTTTACATCATTAAATCAAATAAATAATTAAAACGAATGAATGAGATTAAGTATAGAGAAATATATTGAGAAAGGGTATGGAAAGGATCCAAATCCCTCATCTATAAAAGTAAACATTTGTTTTACAAGGAGCTGCATCTAAAAGATTGGGGCCTAAAATTCTAACTGACTATAGCAAAAGAATGGGGGGGAAAGGGTAAGAAGATATACTTTGGTTTGAAATGATAGCCTTTGAGCTCAGCAGCTTGAGACAAAGCCAGCCTCCATTTTTGCACCTTCTGCTTGTTGTCTTTGAATCCTTCCTCCAGTCTCGCCAATGCCTCCTCATAGCTTCCTCTCAGACGTCGAAGCTCCGATGGATCCACATAATAAAATATTGGATATATCAACTGACCTTCTTCCTTGAAGCACTCCATAATCTTCACTAGTTCCTCCAAACAAAATGTTGAGTTTGCATAGTTTTCAGAAAAAACCACAATGGCTATTGTTGATTCTTGTATGGCTTTGAAAAGTGCTGGTGTGATTTCTTCCCCTGTCTTGATTCCTTCATCATCAATAAAGGCATGAATTCCTCTTTGGCACAGAGCTTCATAGGGATAGCTGATGAAACCTAAGCGAGTATCTTCACCATGAAAACTGAGGAACACATCATAAGCCCATTTGTAAGAGATAGAAGAGGATGTTGCTCGTCGAGCCATGAGAGCGCAGAATAAAGCAAGAAGAGAGATCTCACAGGAATGTTAAGAATGGCAGCTTAACCATTGAAGTTCTCGCCAATATACAACTACGCAGCCTTACCCCCTCACCCAAAATAAAACAAAAATAAAAAAATAAAAACAAAAACAAAAAAGAAGGCCCCGAATTGATTGCCATAGGATTCATAAAATAAAACTTCATAGTGCTCATTTTTTTTAGTTTAAGTACAGAAAGTGGACCCTACAGTTGATAAGCATAAGCGTCATTTGTATTAAATGAAAATTGTTTTTTTAGCAAAAAATGAAAATTGTTTTAGAGTTGTTAACTTTATTTAAAATTTTTGAATACATTACTATTCCCTTAAAATCAAAATATAAGCAGTTTTTTTCATTGAAATGTTTCTCTAGCAGAGCTAACATCTCAATGTAGGTTTAGCAATATATCCTTAAATTTGTACGAAATGTGATTCGAATACAAAATGATTCATCGATGAATCAAGATGTGAAAACAGCCATAAAAGAAACTACTTATAAGGCATGTGTAATTTTTTCTTTCATTAAAAATTCTGGTGGATTTCATTAAAAAAAAAAAAGATCAGGTGAATTAAATCTTGTTGGCTCAACAAGATAAAGGTACATCCCAAGGTGACATGTATTATTTATTATTTTTGAAGGAAAGCAATGTTAATTTTATTAATTCATATTGACACTGATAACACGTCATCCGATCGAGGAATATGTCAATGACTATTATACCAATTCAATATTTGATTATAGATATTCCATTTTGTTGTGCGATCTCTTCAATGATTGTAAATTTAATGATCTTGGCGATAAAATACTATGTCTATGTCTAAAATAAAGATTAAAGAAGACAAGTTAATTGATAAATCCAGGAAGCTTAATTAGTCCTATTCCCTCAATTTCAACGGCGATGCAGAAAGATACAATTTAGAAGAGGGGATAAGTGAAATGGAGAAAGCAAAGTGAGGAAAAGATATATTTCAATGGCATGAATCATTTTAATTGGGCAGAAAATCAAATTCATGAATACAATATCAGAATATCTTAGAAACATTTAAAACATAAAAGTTCACATTTCCCTTTCATTTTGGGAAAACAAAAAATTTTCTAAATTATTTTGTTATATATGACGAACGAATAGAAGGTTAATGGCATGGATGATGTTACAAAGTTTAATGCCTGAGTTCTGATATGTTAGTTGTGTAATCTCTATGCTGATAAATTGGCATCATGAGGATAAGTATTCTAGATTTAAATACCATGATTACGTTCTGGTTTATTTGTTGATAAGAAATATGGAGATTGGAATGTATTAAAAAAATAAAAGTAAATTAAAAATAGCATAATTAAAATATGAATGGAAGATAAGTTAGCCATGTTCACCAAGATGGAAGATTAATCTAATTCATAATAAAATTAAAAATTATGATTCATGAAATTTTTATATTTGTGGTATATATAGTATTAATTTTTAATATGTTTATCATAAGAAGAGAGTAATTTGGTTCATTTTGATTTTTATTTTATTTTTAATTCATTCTATTTCTATCTTTTTCAATAATCAAATAGCTCCTAAAATGAGAACTCAACAAAACTTTTTGATGTTGAGAAGATAGAAGAAAGACAACCAATTACTCTCAAGGCGAGAGAGAAAGCACGAGGGAGGAAGGGAAGGCTCATGTCATGTATTTTAATTAAATTTATAAGTTAGTTTCTCAATTATAAAAAAATCAAATATATTAATAAAAAAAGTCACAATATTAAAGTCAGATTAGGAAAATTAAAAGAAACTAAATGATGGCTTTTCCAAGTGCATTGTAGAACTATACTTACGTTTGGTAAGTTCACGTTTCACATCCCAAATGTGATTTTTAACTTTTGGGATGTGAGATATTGTTTGGGATATATTTTAATTTTTAGATGAAATGTGCTTTTCAAAAATACTTTTAAACGGGATTGAAACTAAAAAAATAGGAAGCAACTTTTGGGAGCTTTTGAAATGCAAATCAAACAATGTGAGCATTAATGATTGGTACCTAATATTATAACAGACCATGATACCCTCATATTTCTCCTTCTTCAAATGCAACCAACACTGGCCTCTCTCATTCTGCATTTTCTCACTCGCTCGTCCCTCACTCGTCCGTCGCTCATCCATTGCTCCTCCGTCTCTCCTCCATCGTCTAGTCATAGATCCCGAGCTCTTCATCTCTAGCATCCGGGCACCAGCGGTGGCCCTCTTATAAGTTGCCTCCACTTCCTCCATGGCAACAAACGTGTCTGGCTCTCTAGCTGGCTTGAAACCAACAGACTCCCTGTTTGCCTCCTTCCCCTATTCCTTTTAACCATCATCATCAATGTTCTCACTGGCCTCAACGATTACCTCTATGCTTATAGCTTAGCTTGCCTCCCCATCTCCACGTTTGCTTTGATCATTGCCACCTAGCTAGCTTTCATCGTCGCCTTCGCCTTCCTTCTCATTAGGCAAAAGTTCACCCCTTTCTCCATAAATGCCGTCATCTTGCTCACCATTGGAACTAGTATACTGGCTCTTCATTCATCTGGAGATTGCCCCTGAGGCGAGTCTACTAAGCAATATGTGTTGGGGTTTGTGTTAACGCTGGCGGCTTCTGATAGAGAAATGGATAGGGTTCGAGATTCTATTAGAGATCAGATTATATATTATAGATCAAACTATTAATCATATAACTATTCAACATTAATGAATGTTTAACTATTTATTACATAATTTTTTCCAAAATTAAATTTTATATTTTTTCTTATTATTTAACATTTTAAATTTTATGTTATTTTAAATTTGTTTCACATTTTTTAAACATTACTAATATATTATATTTGTATATTAAAAATTATAAATTATCAAAAATTAATGTCCTTTTTGGTCATTACATATTAAAAAGTACATTTCAAAAGAACAAATTTTTGTTAATCCAAATAACTTTTAGTTTGTCAAACTGACTTTTAAAAAAATGTATCCAAATACAAATTTCGTTACAACAATTGGCTTTCATCAAACTGACTTTGTCAAATAAATTTTTATCAAACTGACTTTCAGCAAATTGAAAACCAAACACACACTGATTCGCCTACAAGTTACATATCCAATAAAGCAAGCTTCAAATGCATACCATTGCAAAGAATTCTAGTGGAACACAGGGCAAATGTCTTCACTATTGAAAGAGATTTTCACAAAACAATATTCCCCTCATTCAAAAATATAAAGTATTTTAAACTAAATCTCACCCCCAATAAATTAGTTATCTACTTTCAAACTAATCCTATCTTTTTATATTTATCCCTATTAAATATCCTATAATAAATATAAAGTCATTATCAATAGGGGCACTTTTGAAAAAAAAATAATGATTACACCTCGAAAGATTAAAAATGCCTTATATTTTTTAACATCCAACTTCTCAAAAAATGCTTTATATTTTTTAATAGAGAGGGTAAGCTATTTTTTTACCCCCTTTTCTTGAACTTTTTACTTTGGATCTTCCATGTGATCATAGGTGAACTTGAAGTTCCAATGATTGTTGAACAAAATCCTTAGCAATAGAGATCTGCAAGTCTTTAATCAGAGGAACAAATTGTTGATTGAGAATATAATAAAATTTTAATTTTACTTATATTCAAATAAAACATTTTAAAATTTATGTTATATTCTCTCATAGTTAATGAATTTAAATAAGAAATAATATTGACAAAATATAATTAATATTATCCAAAATACCTTATATTAAGAACAACAGCATTCTTATAGAAGATGTGCTATCAGAAGAATGGGAGGGAGCATAACTTTCAATAGCTATGTATTATGAAATTATGTAAGTTAATTCTCTTATTTGTTTTGTTGTTGTTACTCTAGCATTCTTTGGAGGCTTATAAATAAAAATTATGGACTACACATTTGTGCACTTTAATATTAGTCAAGATAATACTAAATATGTTTCTATTAATTAATTGATTAATTAATATAAACTTCACTTGATTTATCAATTATATTTTTTTTATGAAAAAAAGTTAGGTGAATTGGATCCACCTTTGTTGATAATTTATTAAATATATTTATTACTTGCATGTTGGCACGAAAAATGCAAGGGACAAGCCTAAAGGAGGAAGAAGAGTGAGCCCAATGGGCAGGAAAATATTCTGATCCCCCCAAGGTGTTAATAGGAAAAAAAAAACAACAGCCAGTCAAGCATACACATATCAGCTCAGAGCAAATCAACATTCATAAAACCAGCATTTAAACCCTATGTCAATGTTAAAATGGATAATTTAAGCCAAGCCCAACAGACTAACCCAAATGAGCCCAAGAAATATTAGGATTGAGTTTGACTATATGAGTTTTTTTTAAAAAAATAAAATATTTGAAGCCTAGCCATCGAAATTACCGACTCTATCATATAGAGCAAGTAATTTAGGTTAAACTCAACGGATCAGCCTGAATCCAATGAAAAAGTTAAAGCCAAACTTGACTATATGAGTTTTTTTAAAAGACAAGATACTTTGAACTCTATTTGAATAAGTTCAGCTTGTCTGACTTATTGACTTTAGTTAGTGTCACTCTGCATTTCAATATAAGGGCATCAATTAAAAAATTAATAGCTAAACTCAATAAAAAAAAAGGAAAAATAGCATCTAAGGACCACTATGTGATATTTAGATTACATAAGGACCAAACAATTTTCTATTTATGTTGCAGTCCTCTAGTCCTTTTTTGATATTAATTTCATAAGTAAAATGACAAAATTACCCCTCAAGTAATTAAAAAAACAAAGAAAAAAGAAATCACACTATTGCTAGCACTGACTGTAGGACCACCGTTGATGGCGACGTCGTCGAATCCTCTTCTGTAGGCTCAAGTAATTAAAATACAAAGAAAAAAGAAATCACACACTACAAACATGGTCACTGCCAAAAGTATCCTTTAACGGCGATAATTGTAGCCACCAAAAGTTTTTTGTAGCTAAAAGTATACTTTTGGAGGCGACCATATTTGTCGTCACAAAAAACTACTAACGATAAGACTTTTGGTGGAGAAAAGTCATCACTAAAAACCTTTAGCGGTGACTTTTTGTAGCAATCAAAAGTCAACTTTTTAAAAAAATTAAAAAGCCATCTCATACCACATCAGCACTTCCTTGTGCCACATCATCTGACACCTTATGCCATATCAACTACCACATCTACACCTCCTCGTGCCATGGCACGTACCATGTCACCCTACCATGTGTGCGCCACGTCACATGACAACTTGTGCCACATCACACCATGTTACCACTACATGCCACATCATATATTTATTGTGAAATATGCCCAAGTTAGGATTTGAGTCTTTGACCTCCACCTTTCAAGCCTTAAGTCTTCCTTTGTTCTTAGTTAAGTTGAAATGCACTTGCAGTTATTATATACAAAATTAAATATATATTATTTAACTACATACACATATATCAAATAATATATTATTAAAAATATATACATATATATTTTGTTTTATTTTCATTTATTGATATGTTAAAATAATTTCTATAAGTGTATATATATATATATATATTATATTTTTAATAAAATATTATTTTTGTTAGGAAAATGAACTTAAAATAAAAATAATTTTTAAATATTAAATAATTTTCTTATAAACATTTTTATCAATTTTTAAATTTTATTTTTATTTTTTAAATGAAAATAATTAAGTATATAATTTATCTATAAGTATATATTATTTTTTTACATTAAATATCTTTTACTTTTTTTCATATTTTTCTCAAAAATTAATAAATAAATTATTAAACTTTTATCTTATCCCAAGTTAAATGCTTCCCCTTCTTTTATTAAAAATAAATTTTATCTACAATTCAATTATCTTAAAAATATTTTAATAAAAAATTATTTTAATTATATAAATTTTGTTAATTGTCATTTTGAAAAATTATTCTTTATTATCTTTCAAATAGGAGATGGATGGACATGTGATAAACTCAAAGTAGATGCTAAACATTAAAAACTCTAAGTTAAAAATCTAAGTGGATATTTCATAATCAAAATAGAAGAAATCTTATTTTGACTCGATCTAAATTAGTTTAAACTTTCATTAAAGTCTCTTTAATAGAGCCAATTTAAAGTTAATAGGAAATACTTCCTAATAACTTTTCAATTTAAAATAAACAAACTTTAATAATTTTATACATAATTTCATTCATAATTTAAAAAACCATCAAGTATTCTTGACCTATTTTATTTGTTGCTTATTTCAAATAACCATCAAATATGGAGCATCTTATTTAAATAATCCTATGGTAATGAAAAGTAAAGCTCAGCAAATGAAGTATACACTACTTGTATACTAAGCCAAGTATCAAGTGCGTAATATGTCAAGTACTTCTTCCATCTCAATTTATAAGATACTTTTAGGAAAGATTTAGCACCCTAAAATATAAGATACTTTGATAAAAATAAAATTTTATTAATAATACTTTTTTCAATATTACCCTTTTTCTATATTCTCTCTTTTCAATATTATTTCATCACTGGAGTATTAAATGAAAAGTATTTTTAAAAGTTTATATTTTTGTCTTGAAAAAATAAGGTTGTAAAGTGTATTTAATAAGCTTTATTGATATGTGAGATTTTATTTAAAAGTATTTTATAATTTGGGACAAAGGGAGTAGTCTGTAATGCCATTTACATCTTACAACATTCATATAACTTTAATATTCTAATGTTTATATATAACTTTAACATTTTAATATTATTTATTTCTTAGTCTATATATAAATACCTTTAGTGGCAATAAATTTTGTCACTAAAAGTATTTATAAAATATTTTTTTAGTTTTTTAATTATCTTTATAAAAATACTTTTGGTGGTGACAAACTGTGACCATAAAAAGTAATTACATAAATTATTTTTTATTTTTTAATTATTTTTTTATGAAAATACTTTTGGTAGCTACTGTTTGTCAATACTAAAAGTAATCATATAAATTATTTTAAATTTTTTAATTATTTTTAAGAAAATACTTTTGGCGACGATAGTTTTTTGCCACTAAAAAATAATTACATGAATTATTTTTTTATTTTTTAATTATTTTTTATGAAAATACTTTTGGTAGTGACATTTTGTCATTGCTAAAAAGTAATTATATAAATTATTTTTAATTTTTTAATTATTTTTTTATGAAAATACTTTTGGTGTGACAAAATGTTGCCGCCAAAAGCCATTACAAAATATTTTTTAATTATTTGTAAAAAGTTTGTTTTCTACACCGGGTGAAGGATCACCCGGTGTAGAAATTTTTTTTAAATTACCCTCGATTCATATAGTCTCCTTCCTGCTTCATTTGCTCTGCTTCAATATCTCTCATTACCTTCCCTTCCTCCCTCTCGTCGCCCTCCCCCTTGCCCGCCCCCTTCCCCTCGTCCCTTCCCTTGCCGCCCCCTCCCCCTCCTCCATCCATTTAAATTATTTTAAATATTTTAAATATTATATTTATTAATATACAAATATAAAAATTTAAAAATTTAATAAATATATTCATTCGCAATTCAATTTAATATGGCCAGTATAGATTTAATTTAGCAGTTCAATTTAATATTAAAAAATTTTATAATTTTACAATTTGACTATCTAGATAAACTCTAAATAGTTCGAATATAATTTAGATGATCTAATTTAATATTAAAAAATTTATAAATTTTATAAATTAATCATTTAAATGTACTTCAAACAGTCTAAATTTATTTCATATTTTTTATTTTAATAAATATAATATTAAAAATATTTAAAAATTAATTTAAATAGACCGTAGGAATTAGTTTGGATTAAGATGGTTCAGTACTCACAATGATGAACCTCAAATGCAAATGCCACCAAGATGCATAGCCATTACACATACTTGATTGAATGCATACCAAATTTGACGTGCAATTTTTTAATATATACTACAAAATCCTCATTGGCGACATATATTTTACCCAAAATTTAAAACAAAAAATATCCAAATAACTATGTTAATTTTATTGACTTCAAAATAACTATGTTAAAAGTCAAAACCAAATATGTAGGAGATATTTGATTAATCATTTCTTATATAAAACTCTGCTACAGAACTAGTAAACTGAAAAATGATGACACTGCTATAGAAATGGGTTTTAGTGACGTTTAAAATTTTAATTTTGTAATGTTTATAAATGCTATAAAATTCAATGCTATCTTAAATTTTAGGTGCGTTTTATTAATTAATAAAATGCCATAAGAAGCTAGCAACATGGTGGCGTTCTAAAAAAAATGTCACATCTTTACTTACTTTTAAAAATAAAAGAGAAGAGAGGTAGCGTTTCTTACAAAAAATGCACCTCTCTACTTACTTTTTAAAAAATAAAAAGTAAGAGAGGTGGCGTTTCTTGCGAGGAAATGCCACCTCTTTGCTTAATACTTAATTTTTTAAAAAATAAAAGGGGATAGGTGGTGTTCCTGCATAAAAAATGTCATCTATCTCCTTTTATTTTTTTAAAAAATTAAAAAATATCACTTTTTTAATATATATATATATATATAATTTTTATATACCTATCAATTCATATACATAATTTTTTTAATAAATACACAATTAATTTATACAATAAATTTTAATCATATAATTAACAAAAATAAATAATCAATTTCATATTATATAAATTACAATAAATTTAGCAAGGTCATAAAAATTAAAGATAAATAAAAATATAAATTAAATATTAGTTAAGAGATATAATAAGGTTTATCATCAATTTTTATAATATAGTTGTAAAAAATAATATTTACAACAAAAATAAATAAACAATAAAATTGAAAAAAAAATTATGACTAATGTTTAACAAGTTTCTTCCTTAATGATTAATAAAGATTATCATCATTACCTTCTTAAAAGTTTAAAATTTGATAAAACCAAATCATTTATCATTGAAAGCACAAAGATTAAAATCTTACTGTTTGTTCCCTAGATTTGAATAAAGATTTATACTTAGAGAATTATTTTACCAACAAATATGCTTAGTAGCAAATTAAAATAAAAACCCTTCAATAATGGAAAGAAAAATTGTCAACTTAAGATAAACAACAACAAAACCATAAAGATCCATTTATATATATATAGGTAGACAAGAGGTAATAAAAATGAAAAAAAAAACCTGTTATTAGTATATACATACAAGCGACCTCAGCTGCAAAAGATGAGAGCAGCTTCAACAATTAGAGAATAGATAACTTGTGGGTTATGAGAGAGAAGAATGAGCAGTTGGACAAAGAGAATGATTAAGATGAAAAACTTTAGGGTTTCAAAATTTAAATAAGAGTTAAAAACTATCAACAATTTTTTTAAAAAAATTAAAATTCATAGTGGTGGCATTTCTAAATGGAAGAAACGCCATCTTTCTAATTTTTTTAAAAATTAAACTCATTGATAAAAAATTTTTGAAGAGAGAGGTGGCATTTCCATCACATGGAAACACCACCTCTCTCATTTAAATAATTTTTTAATATTTCAAATTAAATAAATAATATTTAAAACTTATATATATAAAAATAAAATAACGAAAAAGGAAGAGAGGTGGCATTTCCAAGTTTGGAAATGCCGCCCCTCTTCAATTATTTTTTAAATATTATTATATATTAGTTATAAATATTTAATAAGTAAATTATAATGAAATAATTTTTTAATATGATAAAAAATTTTAAATCAGTAAGAAAGTATCGAGAATGGAATTTTCAAGTACAATAAATTTAACCTCTCTTATTTTATTTATTAAATGATATGATATACTATTTAAAATTATTATTTAACAAATTATAATAAATAATTATTTAATGTGATAGAATAAAATAATAAATTAATAACAGGGCAGAGAGGTGGTGCTTTTAAGTTGAAGAAATGTCACCTCACTGCTTTTAATTGTTAGATAATAACACATATTAATAATTAATATTAATTAAATAAATTATAATAAAATAATATTTTATTTTATAATAAAATATTAAAAAAGGAAGATGGGTGGCATTTTCAAGTTTGGAAATGCCACCTCTCTTCAATTATTTTTTAAATATTGTTATATATTAGTTATAAGTACTTAATAAATAAATTATAATGTAATAATTTTTTAATATGATAAAAAATTTTAAATCAGTAAGAAAGTATCGAGAATGAAATTTTCAAGTACAATAAATTTAACCTCTCTTATTTTTTTTATTAAATGATATGATATACTATTTAAAATTATTTATTTAAAAATTAAAATAAATAATTATTTAATATGATAGAATAAAATAATATATTAATAATAGGGCAGAGAGGTGGCGTTTTCAAGTTGAAGAAACGTCACCTCTCTACTTTTAAATTGTTAGATAATAATACATATTAATAATTAATATTAAATAAATAAATTAGAATAAAATAAAATTTTAACTTGTAAAAATTATAAAATAGTGAAAAAGGAAGAGAGGTGGCTTTTCAAATTTGAAATGCCACCTCTCTTCAATTATTTTCTTAAATATTATTATATATTTGTTATAAATAATTAATAAGTAAATTATAATATAATAATTTTTAATATGATAAAACAAATTTTTAAATTAGTAAGAGAGCATAAAGAATGGTATTTTCAAGCATAGCAAATGTAGTCTCTCTTATTTTATTTATTAAATAATGTGATATTTTATTTAAAATTATTTTTTAAAAAAATTATAATAAATAATTATTTAATTTGATAGAATAAAATATTAAATCAATAAGAAGGCAGAGAGGTGACATTTCCAAGCTGAAGAAATGCCACCTCTCTGCTTTTAAATTATTAGATAATAATACATATTAATAATTAGTATCAATTAAATAAATTATAATTAAATTATAACTTGGAAATGCCATCTCTCTTCAATTATTTTTTAAATATTATTATATATTTGTTATAAATAGTTAATAACTAAATTATAATAAAATAATTTTTTAATATGATAAAAGGAATTTTTAAATCAGTAAGAGAGCATCAAAAATGAAATTTTCACACACGTGGCCTTCTTATTTTATTTATTAGATGATATAATATACTATTTAAAAGTACTTCTTTAACAAAGTATAATAAATAATTATTTATTTTGATAGAATAAAATATTAAATCAATAATAGGGTATAGAAGTGGTGTTTTCAAACTAAAAAAATGTCACCTCTTTACTTTCTAATTATTAGATAATAATACATATTAATAATTAATATTAATTAAATAAATTATAATGAATAACAATTTATCTCATAATAAAATGTTGAAAAAGGAAGAGAGGTGGCATTTTCATGTTTGGAAATGCCACTTCTCTTCAATTATTTTTTAAATATAATTATATATTTATTATAAATACTTAATAACTGACTTATAACAAAATAATTTTTTAATATGATAAAATAAATTTTTAAATCAATAAGTGAGTATCGAGAATTAAATTTTTAAGTACATAACCTCTCTTATTTTATTTGTTAAATGATGTGATATACTATTTAAAATTATTTCTTTAACAAATTATAATAAATAATTGTTTAATTTGATAGAATAAAATATTAAATTAATAACAGGGCAGAGAGGTGGCATTTTAAGTTGAAGAAATGCCACCTCTCTGCTTTCTAATGATTAGATAATAATACATATTAATAAATAATATTAATTAAATGAATTATAATAAATATTTTAGCTTATAATAAAATGTTGAAAAAGGAGGAGAGGTGGCATATTCAAGTTTGGAAATGCCATCTCTCTTTTTTCCTTATTAAATAATAGATATATTAATTAAAATTACTAATTAAATAAATTATAATAAAATAATTATTTAATATCATAAAATAAAATGTTAAAATCAATAATAGAATAGAGAGGTAGCGTTTTCAATTAAAAATGCTACCTCTTTAGCTTTGATTGTGAAAAAAATATTAATTTAATAAAAAAAAGAGAGGTGGCGTTTTGCACTTTTTAAAATGCCACCTCTTATTATTTACTAAAATTATAAGTAAAAAAATAATTTATAAATGATGACATTTGAAATAAGAAATGCCACCTCTCTGTTTGGACTTTTATGTTAGTGGCATTTTATTTTTTATTGCTACAAAATACATGCTACTAAATCTCATTTCTGTAATAGTGTGATTAAAAAAATGAACACTTAATTTGCACAAGTTTTGACCAAAAAATTTTTCTTTTCCACAATAAGTCTTCCATATAACCTGAGGCTGCATGGCCGTTGCGTCGTGGTTCATCCAAGCATAACAATATGCATGCGCAAGAATATACTGAATCAACAAAACCAACATACTAATTAAATTTGACATGTTCTTTAATCAAAACTCAATTTCAAAGTTACAAATTTATATTCACGCAATTATGAAATATTATACTTTGCCATATGACCATGAGTTACTCCGCTGGTGCAACTTCCTGTAAATCCAATGGAGCAGCACCTTTTTTTTTTTTTTTTCGGTCTAAGGAGTGCCTGTAGCCAGCAGTTATAAAACTAATCCTTTAAAAATTTGAAAATTATATAAAGGATTGTCTTCTCTTAAGTAATATTTTTTTATATATAGTTTCAAAAATCAAAACCTGAAAGAATACTTAAGGGATGCAAATTGCTACCATCTGTGCAATACCACCTTTTCAAGAAAATCAATCCGCTCCTGAGCTCAGTTGAAAGTATTGATTAATGCCACGGTATCTCTGGATGTTGGTTATATATATATATATATATATATATAATGGATATTGTTTATTATTTGGATTAGTCTTGTATAGTTTTACATAGGCTTAGGCCATTTGCATTTGGGCCAACTTGCTATTCGGCATGTTTCTTGGTTTGTTCTGGGTTATGGGCTATACAAATTTTGTGTTTGTTTATTTGTAGCCAGATTTAATGGATCCAATAAAGAGTATTATTCAGTAAAAACATTTTTCTATAAGCTTCTTAAATTTAGGAGTCACTCAATATACTTACGACAATAAAATGCAATATTAGAAGCTACTTGCATTATGGTCACAACAAAATCTGAACTGTTCATTATCACACAAGAAAGAACAGTAGCATGCATAAACAAGACAAAAGGAATAGTTGCATGATCAACAAGCTTTTCAGACCATGTTGACCGTTGAATTTTGACATTTGATTGGGTTATGTTTCAAGCATGGCACTTCTTCCCCTCAACTTGTGTCTCTTCTCTTTCAGTACCTTCCCTCTCTCTCTTTCTTTTAGTACCCTTATCCGTTGATGAGTGAATTGATTGAGGTTCTTTCCCCTTCATAAAGCCAGTAAACTCCTTTAGCTGCTCCTCCTTGAGTCTGAATTCACTGGAGAGCCGAAGCACCCACGTTGGGTCTTTTTCCATCTCATTCATTACACGATTCCATGCACATGCTCTTTTATTACCTAAGTAATTGCCCATCAACTTCAAAACTAACGGAATGCCACCTGAACAAAGTATTGCACGTTTCGAAACGTCCATGCAATCAAATTCCACATTGTCCTTTTTAAAAGCAGTCCAGGAAAGCATTTGAAAAGCCTTCATCATCACTTAAATTCATGACATCATAAATTTTTTCAATACCATGACTTACTAACAACTGTGTATCCCTTGTCGTAATAATGATCCTGCTTCCGCAACCAAACCAATCACATCCTTCATTAACTGCTTGTAAATGATCCAATCCTTCAACACCATCCAAAATTACGAGAACCTTCCTTTGTCGAAACCAAGGTTGTCTTATTATCCCATGGAAATCATCCAAACTGAAACGTTTGCCCCTGGCTTTTTCATAAAGACGAACCGAAAACGGCGAATCATTCAAAAACCGGTGCTCCTCTGATATAGGAGAAAAATACCATAAATCTTCAAAATGATGAGCAATGAAATTACACACAGCGCTTGCTATTGTTGATTTACCTATTCCGCAAATTCCACAAATTCCTACCATTTTGACTTCCTCATTAGACCCAACATCCAGAAGCGAGATTATTTCCTGTACCCGAGACTCAAGTCCCACTGAATTATCCCAAATGCGAAATGGAAATGCATTAATACTTGAAGAGATTGCATTAATGAACCCCTGAATAAACTTATCTTCTGCCATATTCCTGAGCCATTTTTAAGAAATTCACTTTTTAGTCAAACAAAAATTTATGACATAGTACTTTTAGAAAAGAAAGCTATGCGCCCCCACAACCCAAAAAATAAAATAAAATAAAATAAAATATTTCTCCCAATAAGGATGAATTGCACTGTTGACATACAAATTAAAAAATGGGAACTTTCGTAAAACTGTATGTGTGTGTGTGTATAAAGTAACCCAATCTTGGATTCAGCTACATTTATTAAAAAAATACCAAAGTCATTATAGTGATAAATAAATTTTTAATATAGACATGTATAGTTATTAGGAAAAATTAATCTGATGGTCCATATAGTTTTGCTCAATTTTAAATTAGGTCCTTATATTTTATTTTACTTTAATCAAACCCTTATTATTTGATCTATTATATATATTAACCCCTAAAAATTAAAGTTAATAATAAATTATTAAATTTTCCAAAACAAAAATACTCTTAAAGTTTATAGAAAATTTAATTTAATATTTTTAGCCAAAATTGAAAAAAAAATTAATACACTGTTTACATTTTTATATGAAAATTCTATACATATAAAAATATTTAAAAAATAATTATATAAATAAAAATTATGTAATTAATTCTAAAGTTATAAAATCATCTAATAAAAATATAAAATTTCTTAACTTTATTTTTTTAAAAGGAAAATTGGAAAAATTTAAGGATTTTAACCCTTAAGGATTAAAAAATTTAATTGATTAAATTATAAAGGTTCAATTAAAACAAGACAAATTGCAGGGGCCTAATTTAAAATTAAGGAAAACTATAAAGACTTACAAATATATTTTCCTTAGTTATTAATTAAACTACATAACAAAGTGTGTTGCTTTACTAATAGGATTGAGTCTAGCAGAAAAAGCTAATCCTCACAGAACAAAACAAGATTTGAATCTATGTGAAAAAGATGTCTATATTTAGCATCTGATTCGTATGATAAGAAAACAGCAGCATGCAAGAAAAAGGGTTCTTTTTTTTTTTTTTCCCTTGCCCGGTGTTTTCATAATCGATAGTTATTGGGCATACGGTGATTGTTCAGTTATCTGTGCCTAAACTTTTTAAAATTATAAAAAATATAAAAAATAATTTTGCATTTTTTTGGGAATAAACATTGAAAAATATTTTAAATACAGTCATTTTCTATTTTTTTTTCTTGCAACTATAATCTCCATTTCCTTTTGGGAATCTGCCCAGGGTTTGATTTGTGCAACACAAGACATATAATATTGATTTATTATATTATATTATATTATATTATATTATATATTTGTAATTAAATTTTTATCAAATATTATTCAAACACATGAAAAGACTTTTTCATTTACAGAATTACTGTTTTTATGTTTGTCATTCAACTCATTTTGAAAGCAACCAAGAATACTATATAACTGCCACCAAGCTAAGCATCTATATTCCCACGTAATTAAAGCAGAATAATGCTTATTAGAATTATTTAGTGCTAGAATCAAAATCTATATGTATACATAATCTATATTTATATATAATATATCAAAATTTTAAAAGTCATATTATCAAATTCTATGTGATGTATCCAATTGATGAGGTAAGGGCCCCTTGAGTAAGTAATGAGTAATAGGTAAAGTAATGGCCAAATAATAGAAAGGAGAAAAACTATGGAAAAGGGTGAGGAGATACCTGGGATTGAAACAATAGTATCCGCCTCTTGAAACTACTTCGGACAAAGCCAACCTCCATTGTTGCACTTGTTGTTTGTTGTGTTTTAATTTCTCCTCAAGCATAGCAAATACTACTTCACAATTACCTGTTTGATATTGCAACTTTGGTGGCTCCATGTTATAAAATATCATGTAAACGGATCGACATTCTTTTCTGAAGCACTCAAGAATGGTTGCAAGGCTATTTAAACAAGATGTCGAGGATGCATAGTTTTCGGAGATAATTATGATAGCTGTCCTGGATTCTTCCATTGCATTGAATTCTTCCACACTAGGGGTGAGGAATTCATCATTAGGCAAAACACGGATTCTTCTGGCACACATGCAATGGCAGAGACGACTAACAAAGCTTGATCCATAATCATCTCCATAACTCAAAAACACATCATAGGTCCATCTGGATGGGTACGCTCGCTCATGGAGATTGGCCATCCTTGTATCTATGTCTTGACAAGTACATCAAGATGTTTGTGTTAGAAATTTTGACTTACAGATATAAACAAGTCAACTTGCATGAGTGATCGAAGGCAGAGATTTTAAAATCATCACAGTTTTGATAAAGGGCATGGATCATCCAATGATTACTTGATCAATGATAATTAATAAAATTTTTATTTTAAAGAAAATTAAAAAAATTTTATTTTTATTTGTGCATGTTTATATATAAAGTGAAGATAAAAGTGGTAAGGAGGGACTCCAATTTTATTTCTTGGCCACTATAGGAGAGATTATAGTTAATTATCGAATAAAAATGATTTTAAAATTTTACAAAGTTGAACACTTAATATATAGTTTGATTCACTAGATGACCAAATATCAAGGTGCATTGTTTACCGTTGTGAACATTGTCGTTACGTATAGATTTGTAAGATCTATAAATATATAAAATACTCAATATTAAATTTGAAACTTAATATAAAAACACAAAATAACTTGTTTTAAAAGAAAAAAGTATCTGGTTTAAAAATGATAAAAACAATCACATGAATTTAACTAAATTCAATGGCAGCATAATAATACATGTAAAAAGAGGAAGGGCAAACAAAATTGATCGCTTGTGGTGATCTTGATTATGTCGATTTGATTGAATTCGGATCCTTCACTACAATATTTTTTTTATAAAAACAGTTTAAAACTGTTATAGTTATGAAAATTGGTGCAAATATATTTTTAACTATTGCATATTTCAATATTACCTGTTATCTAGGGTAATTATTTTTCTAACTCTCAAGTCTGCAAAAATTGTATGTTGAATCAAAATAAACATAGTTTTCTCGTCAACCAATTGCAACAATTTTAAAATATTGCTTTTTGATAGAAATAAGTAACAAACATTTAAATCCTCTAAAGTTAGAATTGGTGAACTTAAAGTTCTTTTCTGGTATTTTTACTCATTTTATTATTCTTTTATAATATATAATAAAATCTTCTCTCTCTTTCTTTCTTTTTTTAAAAAAAAAAACTTCACAAAAATTTACCAATTACAATTTAAATGATTTAAATTCTAAGTAACAATTAAAAATTGTGGTGTAAACATTAGGTAGACAAAATTCAATATTCCTTCCACACCTCCGATTCAAACCTTAGGCCTCTTGTAAAAGAAATAGATAACTCAAACCACCCTATCAACGTCTCTATCATGTAGTAGCCATTATATATACAGATAATTTTGAAAGTAATTCCTAAAGTACTCTAAGTAATAAATAAATTTAATAAAAATGTATAAAAATCATCCAAAAAAAAAAAGATGGCGAATGTTTCTTCTATGGGGAAACAATAGGTCATAGTTCTTTGTTGCCAAAAAAAAAAACTTCTGTAATAGAAAATAATTTTCAAATGTTGCAATAAATTTATTTTTGTAGGCAATAACTTTTAGGGTAAATGACAAATTACTTTGCAAACTTTAACTCTAGTGATATCAAAGACCTGAACTTATTTATTATACAAATTTTTCTTTCAACTTTTAAAAACAATATAATCTTGCCCATGTTGTTAACAAAATTTTATTTTTATCATTAATTAACCAAAAAATGACAAAAAGATTTCAAAATTATAGAAAATGATGAAAAATTATAATCAAAGACTCAAAAATTACAAACAATGATCCAAAAATTTATGAAAAATACCAAAAAAATTTTGATCATCATTTCTATCATTTTTTATGTCCTTCTCTATCATGTTTTTAGTTAACTAAAAATAAAAGTTAACTTTTATTAACGGCAAGAGCCAAATTGCAACGTTTTCAAATTGATGGAACAATTTACATAATAAATAAATTTAGGGTCAATAGTACTACTGGACCTACAATTAAAAGAATAATTTATTCATTTATCCTAATTTTTATATTGATTATTTGAAATTTTTAATTCAACAATTGAAAACTATTTTCAATTCCACTTTAGGAAATAATTTTTATTTGTTGCAAAATATTTATTGTTTCAAGTAAAAATCAATAGCAACACATGAAAAATTGTTACTTATTCACACTAAATAACAGTTTTAGAATTGTTGCAAAGAGAGGTGTTGCCAAATGACAAAAATGTTCGTATTCCTTGTTCAAATCATCTTTAATGTTGGAAATAACTTTTAAATAAGATCAAAGAGAGTATATTTTAATATATGTAAAAAAAAATATAAAACAAGACGAAGGGAAAGGAGAGACCAAACCTAGGTGAGGCATGCCATCCTCAAGTTCTTCACAATTCTGTGGTTTTTGTACTCTTTTCCATGGGTTGCAATCATCATATGTTCTAGGGTCCATGAATCGGATGGTGTTTGAGTTATTTTGTAGCTTGTAGACATGAAGCGCAAAATGAATTTCACTTTTACTTTTTATATTTTGTGTCTTTCTCTTAATGGAAATCTTCACATGATTCCATTTATATGCATGGCTGAGTTTAGCCTTTCCAATCATGCTTTGTAGATCACATATATGTAAATGACCCATTTTCATTGTTGATAACAAAAGCCACTCATAAGATATATCTACCTTGGTGTTATTGATGTGCACTAGGAATGCACAATTGGAGAGAAAATCATCATGATCTTTAACAAGGATCCACGGAAAAACTGTCGGTAACACATCACGAACCCAAAAAGACACAGAGCTTTCCCTACCATATTTGTCAAGATTTTCTGGCAATTTTCCTCCAGGCAAAATAAAGTTTCTTTTCCCAGGTTGCAAGCTGAGTGCCTAGCAATTGCATACAAGAAAAATGATAAATAAGATGTATGAAAAAAAAAGGAGATAATTTTATATATGCAGCGGGAGGGAAGTAACAGAGAGACCTGATACAATAATTTGCTTTTAGATGACCTAGTCAATAACATGCAACATACGGCACTGAATCTTTCCAAGTTTGGTGGCATGTCCTCAATATGTTGAAGTCGCTTGCAATTATTTAGTAAAAGATATCTCAAATGGTGACATTCTTTGATGCATGCTGGAAGGGTTGTAAAATAATTGGAACTTAGATCCAAATATGTCATATTAGTAAAGTAAGATAGGCAAAGAGCAAGGGAGTCCTCTGACAAATTGCAATTTGAGAAACAAACACGTTTCAATTTCAAAGACAATGTATAGCAATATAAGTCTGCTTCTTCTCCTACATCATACATCTTGAAATGCCTCATTCTTTTACAAGAATTTGCGTTTAGTGTCCAAAGCTTTGGCAACAAACAAATGCCAGCTGGCAGTTGCTCAAGATTAGGACATTCCTCTATGATCAAGGTTTCAAGTCCAATGAGATTGCAAATTGAAGGTGGCAACTCAGTAATAGAAGTCCTCTCTAAATCAAGTGTGTGCATATTTTTCATATTGACTGATATCTCTGGGAAACTTTGAAGGCTTGAACAACCAAAGAGACTGAGACGCTCAAGAGATGTCAACCTAAGGTCATGTGGCATAATCTTCAAGTTATTGCATCGCATGACACTCAATTCCTTCAATTTATTTAAACCTCCAACTGAATGATGTATTTCAATTAAATTTGTACAATCATCAAGCCACAACTCTCTTAAATTAGAAACTCCAGAAAAATTTGGTGTTTGTTGTAGAAATTTGCAATTTCTAAAGTTCATACAACTTAAACTGTGGAACTTCTGCAAAATTAAAAAATGAAAAATTCTTTAGAAAGTTAGGCAAATAAACCATGGTGAAATATAACAAGTATTAGTTATACGTGTATACCTTTGTAAATGGTTGGAGTGATTCAAAATTACTGTAAGACAAGTCAAGATAAACAAGTTCTGTGGAGCAAATATTATATGGCAAAACCTTGAAAGGATAGCCCTTCCATTCCAACCACCTTAAGCCATTTGGGAGATATTTGGGGCATTTAGAAAAGCTTACATTTTTTATCACAAGCATTTTAAGATTCTCCATCTTCATGAATGCCTTTCTGCTCCATTTTATTTGAACTTCACTACCTTCTGGTAGGTTTAGAATTATGACTTCAACTTTATTAGTTCCCTTTCAACATGAATAGCACACAATAAATTTTGAATTTAGACACGTAAAAATCATATTGTAAGTTTTAAAGAAGAAAAAACATAATTCACATATTGTTGGATCTTACCGTGTTTCGTTTTAAAACATGAAGAATATCTTGGTAGTACCATAACCTACTTCGTTCACTAGGTTCACCAGGTGATTGCTGTCGAACAATCATTTTACCCATATCTTCTATCAAACCTTGCATTCCCACTCGATCTCCTTCAATGTTGATGAGGGCTTTATCAATCAAGACTCCAATAATGTAGTCTGGTTGGATTTCATGTAAACAATGCAACATACCCTTGACTTTTCTTAAATTTTCACCTTTGAAGAAACATGCCAAGTCCAAGAAAATGTTTTTCTCAATTTCTCCTAAAGCATCATAGCTTGATCTAAAGGATTCCAAAACTGGTCCTCCTTGACTTCTTTCACATTGATCTAATGCACAGTGCCATTCATTGACTCCTTTACCTCGCAAGTTAGAAATCAACACTTCTATAGCTAATGGAAGGCCACAACAATATTGTATTGCACGATTGGAAACCTTTAAGAAGTCAGACTCCACATTCTCCTTTTTAAAGGCATACCAACTAAGCAATTGAAGAGAGTCCTCATCATTTAATTCTCGAACATTATAAATTCTATTAACATCATGAGCTACTAACAACTGTTTATTCCTTGTTGTTATGACAATTCTACTTCCAAGACCAAACCAATCGCAATTTCCAGCTAGTGCTTCTAACTGTTTCAATCCATCAACATCATCAAGAATCAAAAGAATTTTCTTCTGGCAAAGCCTACGTTTTATTATTGGTATTCCTTCATGAAAATCACCCAATTTGAGATCCTTTTCCATGACTAATTTAAGGAGTAATTTCTCTTGAAGATGTGCCAAACCATTTGGCATTTGGGACTCTTTTCTTACATTAGAAAGGAAGCATACTCCTTCAAAATTATTAGCTATCAAATTACACAAGGCTCTTACAATTGTTGATTTACCAATTCCACTAACTCCCCAAATCCCTACCATTTTAGTTTTCTTAGTAGACCAAAGCTCTAAAAGTGAGATCACTTCTTTCACTCGAGGCACAAGTCCAACTAGATAACGAGTAATGTCTAAGGGATCATGATTAACCCTAGAAAAAACTTCGCTAATAATCTTTGTAATACATTCTCGTTCATTTGCAATCCTGACCAATTCATAAGAAGTTCACTTTTAGTCAAACAAAAAATTATAATGAGAATTTTAGAAAATGAAACTTCGTCAGCTTTAATTTTCTATTACTACTAACAGAAAAAGTTTCATTCTTCACTTCAATAATTAAATATGCAAGTGCTTTAACTTTCTATTACTACTGACAGAAAAAGTTTCCCTGACATTATAAATGCTGTTAACATCATGAGTCACTAATAACTGTTTATTCCTTGTAATGACAATTCTACTTTCAGGACCAAACCAATCACAACTTCTAGCTAGTGCTTTTAACCGTTTCAATTCATCAACATCAGCAAGAATCAAAAGAATTTTCTTCTGGTCAAGCCTACATTTTATTATCAATATTACCTCATGAAAATCACCTAATTTAAGATCCTTTCCCATGACTAAAGTATGGAGTAATGTCTCCTGAAGATGTTAAATAAGACCTACAAATTTGTTAAAATACTTTCAAGTTTCTTGTGGCTTTGATGTAATTAATTGTTCTTATAAAATGACACAATTGCCCTTAGATTATCCTCCTTTGACTAAAGTTTACTGGCATTGACCAACTGCCACCAGCCTATGATTGACAGGTGGCCATTGACCAATCACAAACAATTTTTTTTAGAATTTTTAAAATATTTTTATTGAAATATTAATACTTTAATATTTGCAAGTCAACTATTGCAAATTTATGAATAAAATTCAAATTAATTGTAAGATATTTACAATTAATATTAATATTAATTGTAAGAAGTTTGATCTTATAGCATGGATTACATCTACAAAAATTCTTTTATTTATAGCTTTGACTTGTAAATTTTGAAAATTTATGCACAAATTTATGATGTTTGATTTACAAATATTAAAGCATTAATAGTTTGATAAAACATTTTTTTTTTTAAACTATCAACGATTGTCAACAATCAGTAAACACCGATCAACATTAATTAAGGACAAGGACATGCGACACTTTACCAGCGAAATTAACCACAACCAACTTTCAATTTTCAGGGACTTGAGACTATTTTAACAAATTTATGGACTTGTTAGTTGCTAGTAAATACTCCCTCCATCCCTATACATAACATGTTTTTAATTGAATTACGTAAATCAATAAAAAATAATTATCTACTTAAAAACACAGTAACATTTCAATTTTATTTCTAATTATTATAAATAAAAAATTAATCTCTTTTTTTAAAGTAAATTAATGAGAGTAATTATATTTTTTTCTTTTTAATGTAATAAGGATATAATGATCTATTTATTAAAAAAAAAGTGTTGACAACCTTTTATATTTAGAAATAAAAAAAAATTAGAAGACATTTTATGTACAGAGTATCCTACGTGGGACATATATGTAATTTTTTTTTGTTTTTGAGAAACAGTTATATCTATTCTTTCAAAAAAAAAAAAAAAAAGCCCAATGATCATGGCAACCATACATACTAAATTCCCGATGATGATAAGGTCTGCCTTTGCCCATTAATTGTTGGATATAAATAGGAAGAATGACAAGTCAGAATCAGTAGTTAATATCAAGTCAGTATTTTTTTCAACACTCAATTCTTAAATTCAACATCTTAAATTCAACATTCTTTCTCCTCATATTTTAATACTGAAATTTTTAATTTAACATTAATTTTTTTACCAATACTTGTCACTCTCCCGGCGAACGAAAAACAATACCCAAACAAATAACAAGTGAAGATAGTTACCCAGGTTTGAGATGCCAGCCTTTTAAATCAGCTGCTTTGGACACAGCCAACCTCCATTTTTGCACCTTTTGCTTTTGCTTGTCATCCTTGAATCTTTTCTCAAGCAGATCCAATGATTTCCCATAACTCCCTCTTTGATTTCGCAGATCCGAAGGATCCACATAATAAAATACTGGATAAACCAATCGACCTTGTTCTTCGAAGCATTGAAGAATCTGGACTAGTTCATCGAGACAAAAAGTTGAGGATGCATAGTTCTCGGAGAAAACTATGATCGCTATCCTGGATTCTTGTATGGCTTTGAAAAGAGACTCTGTGATTTCTTCGCCAATCCTGATGGATTCGTCATCTATGAAGGCCTGGATTCCCCTCTGACGCAGAGAATCATAGAGATGACCAACAAAACCTAAACGGGTATCTTCACCTCGAAAACTAAGAAACACATCATAAGTCCATCTGTAGTTGATGGAAGAAGACAGCGATCGCTGTGCCATGAGATCCGCGTTGTGCTTAGCCTTTAGCCACTCAGATCGATGTCGTAAAGTAGCTACAGTTCACAGACCAAGCTTAAAAATGGCAGATGCGTAGAATTAAGCAAGAATAAATCTCACCGCAGGAAAGGAAAGAGCAAAGGGTTGGACTGAGATCTGATAATAATAATTGAAGGTCTCCTCATCTGAACGGCGATCCTTGCGCAAGTAATCTCTCACTAGACTGAAAGCCTGAAAATGAAGACCCGTAAAGTTAAACAAGAAGAGATTTCACAAGTCTGGGGAAGAATGGAAGGTTGATTCCCTATTTTTGGCTGCAGGTTGGTCATGATTGAACGTCAATTCTAGGAAGTAGCGAACACGCGTCCACGAAGCTGCGTCGTATTCCCTTTGGATTTTAAGGATGTAGAAGAAAGAGAGCGCGAAAGTGCAAAACACTTAGAACACGGCAAAAATAAATCGATTTGAAATCTCACACGTACTTTATCTGATTTGAACTCATTTTCTCCCCCACTCGCGCTTCGGTGTCACTTGCCCTATAAATCTGACCGTTCGATCAGTGTATATTCAATTATTCATTGGCGGAATATAAACCAGTGCGACAAATTAAAGCAGTCATGTATCAAGCGGGGCTGGGCTGGGTCCTGATTCCTTACCCAAGCCCGTAAGCACAAAATGGATAGTAATTCAACTAATTAAGATTGTAATTTATACCTTACGGTCCAACCAAGGGCAAAAAAAACCGAGGTCAAGCGGATAGGAACGAAAGCAATATATTAATTTTATATATTAAAAAACTTCATAAAAATTAAAAAATATATCAGTAACAAATTTCATATTTCATAATCTAAATCTAAATTAAGTGTTAATATTCAGTCATAATCATACATTGAACTCAAAAGAGTAAATTAATGATCCATCTCATTGTCAGTTAAAAAAATCCAATTAATAATCGTCTTATTTTTTCACCAATTTTTACCAGCGTGTCTGCCCTAACAATGAATATTATCCAATCTCGTCTGGTTTACTTGGATGAATGTTGGGTTTACAATGTAATCGTTTTACTCTTAATATTTTGTCTTATTATCAAAGGAAAAAAATGACGAAAGCAATGCCACACATGATCTTGTATAATTCTATTCCAAAAACTGAAATTGTTTTACGGGCAAATGCCTTGAATGGCTTCTGAAATTTCATTCTCCCATTCAAATTCTTTCACAACCTCTTTTTACCTAAATAAGAGCAATAATTCTTAATCTGTTGTAACTCTTTGCAGAAGTCCAGGAACGCGACAATTTTGCACTCGAGACCATAAGCCAACAGAAGCCTTCACACGCTAGTCGCTAGGCCTTGATACTATTGCTAGATAGCCTTGAACGAACAGACTCCAAATCTGATACCTCCTTAATACTGCAAAGTCCACATAGTCAGGCCACTGTCCAGATATAATAGTATAAAACGTTCAAAAGAAAAATTAATAATTAAGTTAAAAATGAAAACCAATTTTAATGTAGTGTAATTTTTCAAAAATAAAAAAAATTGATAGCAACATAATGTGCTGCTAAAGCTAAGGCTATGGATGGATCCTAAAAATCACCTCCTCTACGAGCCATGTGGACAGGACAAGTAGACTAATTGGGGGGCATGGCATGGCATAGTAGTTTGAATCATCTAAAAAATTTGAAAAGGTTCTCATTTTCCCTTTTATTTTTTTTATGAACGCCGTCATCTTCAGTTTATCGCAACTTAAACTTGGAACAGAAGAACTCTGATTCAGGATGTTACCTAAAAAAGACACCAGCACCTATCGTTCATGCAAGACATGCAAATCTAACGATATCCCCCAGCCCCATGTCCTGTCACTACTATTGAAAAATAATTTGTATGCATGTGATTAAACAAAAACGACACACAGATATATCGTTTTATGTAATCAAAACCGAATTTCAAAGATAAGAAAATTCACAAAGTTAAGGAACATAATTCGGCATCTGATAATGATTTAGTCCACTCCGCTTCCATGTTTGGTACATGCAAATTAGACTCACCAGTACATAATACCTCCACTAGGGCCCAACTTCCTATAGATCCAATCTGGCACTACCTTTTCAAGAAAATTAATCTGTTCTTCAGCTTCTCCTGTAGAGACGACCGAGTTAATCACTCATAGCTAAGACACTGAAACGCAATTAGAAGCTACTTGTTTTATTGTCACATTCAATACATACTCATCTCAACAAAATCTAAACTATTCATTATTATCTTGTGCAGGAGCTCCTCTTTCGTGATTGGAGAGAATTTGACAGCACAAAATATAGAATATATCACATCAAAAAGGCCAAGCAACGGTGAAGGAATCTGCTGCCACGTTGTTGAACCACCTTGAGTCTGATTCGTATTTTCATGGGAAATATCAAGGCGAGGTGCCACCTGTAATGAGAATCCAGATCCGATATAACCAAGTTCCTGAATCCAGATGACAAGCATACGAAAAGCATAGCACATGATACCACAGATAACTCATTAAAGAGATGTAAAATTAACCAGAAAACCAAAAGGAAAAAAAAAATTGGGGCAAGAGCACTAAACTTGATCAAATCTTGGCCAACTAGTACATCAAGAATTTTCAGCAGATTGGTATCGTGCTTCCTCATTGCCAATACATCAAAGTTAATTCCAAACTCTCACCAGTCACTACATTAGTCGAATTTCAAAATGTATCCATACTAAAGATGAATATAATGGAGATGCATGTATCTTTTAGTAATTAGTTTAAAAGGTTGCCGGGGGAGGATGGGGGCTGGATTCCTCCCCCAAAAAGGCTGATGAGTTTGGACGTGCAATACCCAGCAATCTTATAAGATGAGTTCAGTTATATGTGTTACCACAGGCGCACAGAATACTTTTTGCTGTTTAATACATGGTAAAATCTACCATATACAGCGCCAAAAAATGAGAACAAAAAGTTAAATAAAGAAAGAGCAAGAACTAAAACAAAGGGCAGTTAATAGAACCCTTGATGTCAATTTACAATAAAAAGGAGCCAACAATCACAACATATAGCATCATCTCTATTCTCTACTATGAAGAGCTGTTTTCCTTTTCCATGAGCCCTTTTGATACTGAGAAATCCCCCAGAAAAGGCACCTATCAATCAATATATAAAATAAAATTTTATGAAACCACGCTATTCATGAGTCATAAACAATGCACCTCATTCTTCAAATTTCATACAATGCATGGGAAAGTGTATCTAATTTATAGAATAATATAAAAAAATAATTCTATTTTTATAAAAGAAAATGTCAAATTATTTTGAAAAACTATATTATACAACTGCTCCATTTTCTATATATTTGTAGAACCCAAAAAAAATCTGTTTTTTATGCTAGCAAGTTTAGTGTGTGCCTCTCTCTTGTTATAATACAAAGATGTTCGAATCAAACTATACTCAACTATATTTTATTCTTTATATGCAATGACCAAGGTAGAATGGGTTTAACATGAACCAAGATCGAGATCCAAAATACTAGCATCAAGAAACACCACAAAAAAAGAATAAGTCACTTCTAACTCACCAAAACCAAGGTAAGTTAATTAGAATAATAAAATTAGAATAATAAAACTATCTTAAAAACAAATCATTTTCCAATTTTATTCCTACATTTAAAATAGAATGATTTAATATGTGGAAAGAGTTTTATTGGAAAATGAAATATTGCACTTCTTTTCAGAATCTACTGGAAGGTATTTTTGGAATTGTACATCAAAAGTTACAAAAACCAAGAGAAAGTGACTTATATAAAGGACCAAAACAACATTCTAGAATGTGACTTATATAAAGGACCGGAGCGAGTACATGCTTGTTCAATAACACCTAAAGAGTAAAGTCTTCAAAAAATAAAAAATAAAAAAAAGTTCTATTTACAAGTTTTCTGTTGTATATAAAATTGCAAGCATTGACATGGAATTACTAATAATTTTCAGAAGCACACCATGCCTTGAAGAATTAAAAAATAGAAGCATGGCCAACAAGGCATACCTTCTGGGATAGAACAACAGAATTAGAAATATTAAAATCCTCGGTGCATCCTTGACTAGCTTCAGGAATGTTGTCGAAAGCATCTCTGCTTGATTCTAATTTGTCAGCAACATAATCACCTTCTTGCAAAAAAAGAACTCTTTTTACTTGCTTGGTGCATGAAATATTAAAATCCTCGGTGCATCCTTGACTAACTTCAGGAATGTTGTCGAAAGCATCTCTACTTGATTCTAATTTGTCAGCATCATAGTCACCTTCTTGAGAAAAGAGAACTCTTTTTACTTGCTTAGTGCATGAAATTGAATTCTGGGTGATCATAATCTTGAGTTTAACATCAGAATTGGGCACCAATCTTCTAGGTGTTGACTGAGCAGGCGTCTCTGTGACTACGATATCTGTGGATGAGGCAATCTTGAGATAAGAGCTTTCGGAACTACCATGGGTAATAGACTGTGGAGAGCAAATCAGACGTGCTGGTGTATTAAAAACACTACATAGGAATCCCATAGAACATGATTCATTCTGCTGTCCTTTTTCCATATCCTGATTATTAGTGCTCTCAGATTTCAAACATGAAGTAGTACACTTGTTCTGCCCTTTACGGTCCCCTTCACCTCCTTCATTATCCACGCAATCAGATAAATGATGTAACTGAGAAATTTGACTTGCTACATTATTTTCTGTCTCTGCCACAACATTATTCTTTGAGAAATGCCTTTTAAAAGGATATGGCTGACATTCTTGTAGCTGTTGATTTTGATCAGAAGTTGGTGATGAGAGTACTGTTGAAGGATCTACAGGAAAATCCTCACAAATCAAGCTATGAGTTCTTTGTTGGAAAGGTTCTGGTAGTTTAGCCTCGGGAATATCAGTATTCTTGCCCACAAAAGAAGCAAAGAAAAATATCAAAAAAGATTATTGCTTCACTTATTTTGGATCACAAATATACCAGATGGAAAACACACCAAAACAATATAGAGAAAGATAATATACGTGCCAAAAGAACAGCTTTGGTAAAACAAAAGGAACAGAACTCTCTAGTGTCATATTTAAAACTTACGCCCCATTTGGTTAAAATATAGGAAAGAATTCCCTTTTCCTTTCACAAACTATTGCTAATGTTGTCGTGACAGCTTGAGAAACAACAGATACAATAAAATATAACACAATATTGGAGTGATACCTCTGGATGAGTATTGAAGAACTCAAGTAGCTTTGCACTAAAAAGTTGCCGGAGAGCCATGTAAGTATTTTCACTCGAGTGTCCAAGCACAGCCTCATAAACCAAGGTAATCTTCAAATCAGGCTTCATACACGAGCTTCTGTTGTCGTGTACTAACACCTTCTCTATGTGTATGGCTTCAGGAAGTATATACTTTATCTGCGCAAGATCCGTGTACGAGACTTTTCTGCAAAGGGAAAATGGCAGTAGCACACAATTCTATACAAAAACATTTCAATGGATCCATTAGTTATATCAGGGACATTGAAAAATAAAACAAAGCAGAAGAATTTTTTTTTTTTTTACCAGAAAAAGCAGAAGATAAATATAACTGAAATAGCAGCAAAAGTTTCAATTACCTTGCAGCAAGAACTTCAACTTGGGAACAAATATTTTGGAAGGTAGCAGATTTTTTACACAGTCGAAGCAACCTCAATGAACAACTCATATGGTCAAATAACTCTGCTAGAGCCTTGTGTCTGAAATCTCAAAGAAAATCAAAAATGAAAAAAGAATCTCAAAAAATACACTTCAATCACAGATGAGGAAGAAAAGAGAAAACAAATAGCTACTTCCTATAAGCAAAATTTTTCAAGGGACCCAATTCACCCCCAATTAGGCACTCACGTTTCTGGAAGCTTGGTGGATCCCTCCTTGGATTTGGTAGGTAAGGGCTCACCAGTCTTCTTTGGAGTCTGACAAGCAATAGATTTATCAGCTCCATGAAGGATCTTCACACACTTAAAATTCAAAGCGTTTTGTCCACCTTCTTCCAGTGTTTTCTGATCCATTCTCCAACGGCAACACAGTGTAGGAAAAACTGGAGGACGTGAAAAAATTGAAGAAAATCATTATGCATTGCGAAAATTTCCAATCGTCCACGAAAAGTCTGCATTTCTATGACTCTCCGCTAAGAGGAAAAGGAGAATCATTACCTGAATTTGCACTTGCAGTACTGGACAAGAAGCCTGGCTCGCTAGGTTTTGGAGTTGATGAAGAAGACGAGAGGGAGGGAAAATAATCAAATCATTTATATTTTTCCGAAACCATTTAGGCTGGTGGTGGGAGACAAAAACGCCGTCGTTTAACTTCCGGGGCATTTGACCGTTGCAGGCAAAGCACTGTTTTTGAGGGAGATGATTCATTTAGGCCCCTTGTTAAAATCCAAATTGGATTGGCCAGACACTGAGGATTTATTGAGCTCCTCGAATATGGGCCTGAGTCTGACCCATTATCGGTGAAAATTGATATTTATCTTTAAAAAGAAAGCCCAAGTCTTTCCTGATCAAATTACTTGGATTTGTATTGGACTGTAGATTTTATGATGTTTATTTCTTTTTGATGGTTTAAATTCAATTTAAATTATTTGAATTATATTATCTCCTATTTAAATTATTTCAATTTAATTCAAGGAAAATGGGAGCAATGAAATTTATGAGAATGGGTGTGGCCAAAAATAAATAGATTATGAAAATCGGAATGGAATTGTGAAAAAATAATACAATTATCATGTTGTCTTGATGAAACAATAGAATGACGCATCTAACATCTTCAACGATGATAGAGTCTAGTAATCAATAGCATCCTTGGCTTTGCATGAGCAATATAGGCTCTCATCTTTTAAACAAATTATTAAATGGTTCAAATTTTAGTATTTATGTTTAAAAATTTGGACAAATCTAGTATTGTTCTTGGTGTGCTCAAAAAAAATTAGTCTATGATATTGATAGAGGATACTTTCATCTTGCCGGACCCACCATTTTGTAAATTAGATATGATTTATAGCATGGAATGCAAACTTCTGACAATCATAATTTTTTTTTTCAAAAATGTCTTTTTTACATGTGAAAGGAGACATATTAAAATCAGTCTTTATTTTGTCAGCAATTAAAACCAAATCTAAATCTTCAGAAGCAAGCCCACTACACCCCAGTTGCCAATTGGCATGGTTTGGTTTCAAGAGGACATTGCTAGGTCATACATGATGTCATTAGGCTTACAATCTCTTTTAGCATATAAATATTTTTGGTCTATTTAAAAAATGACTATGCATGACCAATGATAATTAGATTAACAAATACACCCTTTAAATAATAGTTTCCAACTGAAAGTTCAATATTTTTCCGCTTTTTAAAAAAATACAAAATCCTATGGGAGCTTTTCACCGAAATGGAACTTTTCTTTTGGGACCAATTGGCATTTAAGACTAATTTAAATTCACATTAATTGGTAGTTCCATGTGTCATGTGAAGTTTGAAATATTCTTATAATTTTCCCCTATAATTAGAATAAAAAATATTTTTATGATTTTATTTATAAAGTATTCCCAACATGTTTCATGCAATGACCTTTGTCATTAATCCCATTTAATTCAACCCACTACTAATCATTAACCTTAAGGATCAATTATGGCTTAAAGTTCAAAAATAAAATAGAATAGCATAGCCTTGAAACTAGGATCCCAACATATTTGAAAAGATAAAGAAGTATTTTTTTAAAAAAAAATTGGTAACAAAGACCTGGTTGAAACACAAATTGATCTTAAGAATCAAGCTAAATTTAAGGACCAAATTTAATATTTTATTTATAACACAATCTATTCAAATAACCAAAATACCTTTGTGGTTTCAGCTTTCTCACTCCACTCTCTCTTTTCTCTCTCCCCCTTCTCCATTGACGATGTCCTCTATCTTCAACCACCAACCCATCATCATAGTAGCTATAGACCTTGTTGGAGAAGCCTATCGCCATCGACACCTTGCAGTAGAAGTTCATCGCTATTAACACCCTTGAAGGTCCATATCTGCCATTTACATCGATAAAAATTACATTTTAAATGTTCAGTTGCCCTTCTCCAGAATATGTGAACTAATTTCTTGTTCCATTTGTTCATTTCTTTTTTCCTATGTTCTGAAAAATCTGTGGTTGGTTGTTATAGAAGGTATAAAGAGAAAATCAACTATAAATTATAAAGAATGATCGGATATAAGATATCAATATCTTTGCAAGTTAAATTTTATTCATCATAGGGCTCAATTGGATTTACTTACTTCCTATTAGTAGGAGAGATTTTAGGATTTCTCTTATTTACTATTCCATGTTTCCTCATTGATAATCATTTCTTAAGGAGCCTTACAATACTGAAATATCCCCCTATTCCCTGAGCTTGTGTCTTTGTGATTTTATGTTCTTCCTTTCCTTTATTAAATTTTTGAAATTGCTCTACATGAAGTCTAATAATCATATCATTATAGTTTTGCTTAACATTTTTCATTTTCTTTATGCCAAGAACACAGAATGATAAGATCTTTTTTTTACTAGAGTGCTTATGTATATTTTATACTATCCTAGCCTATCATCTTTCATAATGCTAGAGGTTCAATTTGTAATATTCAATAATTAATATATTTTTCTGTTTTGTTAGGATGATTTTTCACTATACTCATCCAGCCTATGAATGCTACAAAATTGTTGAAAAGAATAAGTCAAAAATTGAACAACTTCATTTTTAGTACTAATATTGGTATGATATAGATTTGTTATTTGTATCCTCTATTAGTGTAAATATTGTAAAAAGAGAAAAAAGAAAAAGAAGGGATGAACACTAATTTTGTGATACACAGATTGTTGCTTGTGATATAGAGATCTTTCTAAGGCTAAAGAATGAATAGTTCAAACATGCAAGTCTTGATCTTTAAGGAATCTGTATCCATGGTTTCCCGACATTCATGTGTTCTTTTGTTGAATTTTTAATCTTGTGTAGATAAGTAGAAGATCATATTTTTGTTCATTTGATATCATTATTGCTTGAGATCATTTCTCTTTAAGTCTCCATTTCCTAAGTTGTTTTCAGAATTTGAAACTTCAAATATTAATTTTACTAATTTACTTCGATGCCATAGAAGCAGTACAACTTTGCAAAGCTACTTTAAGTCTGTTTTATTTCATATTATGCTATTAAAATATTTTAAAGCTGAATGGTTGATAAGCCTAAAGTTGTGAAGATTATTATACATTTTAGTTATAAACCATATGGTGCAGTCCCTTGCATCACTTTCTGCACATGTTGAGAAAAGAATTGTAGGGTGAAGGAAGTTCTTCATGATTTGGATGAAGCACATGTTGTAGACTTATAGTTCACATAAACTAGACTATTATCTAAGTACTACATGCAATGTCTCTTCGTTCATGTTTTGTGAGGGTTTAGTAGGAAAACCGATAAAGGTATAAAATTCTAACACTTAATTTTTGATATCATTGGGAATAGTAGACAGAAATTTCTAGTAATAATAATAGGCAATCAAACATTTAAGATTGATTGTTTTCATATGCTAGCTCTCAAACATGTGTTTTGAAGTTTGAGATAGAGTAGTAAACCATAAAGGCACAAAGTAGCTGCAAGAGTGATTGTTAACCATGTGTTTCACTTGCCTTTTTATTAGACCATTCTTTTGAGTCTTCTACCATTAAAAGTTATAGTCTTAGCCTATATTATGTTGCAAATTCATGGTTGATTCTCTAATATGGTTAAAGTTCATAATTTGCTCTATTATAAATCTATGTTAATATGAGCCAAAAAATTCTTGTATGACATCCATTCTTTTATTGAGAAATTAACTTTTACTAACTCTTTTTAAAGGATCATTAAAAAAAAGTTTGTGTTGAACTTGTATTGCCTAAGAAGCTAGTTATAATTTTGGAAATGTTGTGTATTATGCTTGAATGACTCACTTGTGATGACTACTAATTTTTATTTCACGCATAATGTTTTAGATGCACTAAAGTATAAGGTTTTGTCTGAAGAGGGAAAACATAGTTCAAGTCAAGAAGTTTCTGCATGCATCCTACAGCTAAAGTGAGCTACAAGGAAGTGCTGATAAAGGGATTCTCTTAAAATATTGAATAAAAATGTAATTGTATTTTGAAGTGTATTTATGACCATTCCCCTTTTTTTTTATAAGGTAGGATGCAGTTTAACATGAACATAATATTATTCTTACCCCTACGGTATATCTTTTGATATAGGGTGCCCTATGGTCTTTGTTTATCATTTTAATTATCCTTGACAAAAAGATAAATCAAACCTAATGGAATTTAGTTGTCACCATGTTACATTATTGGATCTGCATCTTTTACATTAACACTCTAATATTTATGATACCAAGTATGGATACAATTTGCCTTCTATGTGACTCTTCAAAAATTCCATGATAACAGTGAATAATTATATGTAAATTCTATTGTCAATGCCATTAATTTTCATGTAAAATACCATGTATTACATTTAAAGCAATATGGGGAAAGACTCGCAAGCATACATGAGAAATAATGCACATGTAATCCCTAATAGATTATATGCAAACAATTACTCATTACATGTAATCGATATGGGAAAATATTTACAAGCATGCCTAAAAAATAATTTACATGTAATCTAAACAATTACTTATTACATATAATCGATATGGGAAAATATTCACAAGTATACCTAAAAAATAATTTACATGTAATCTCTAGGAGATTACATGTAAATTAAAGACACAGAAAGCAAACCCCTGTGAGTGGTCTAGGATTACATGAAAACATATACGATTTACATGTAAATTAATAGGTGGAAAAAGTTTTGAGCGTAATTGATTGTCAATTTTACATGTAATCCTTAGTAGATTACATGTAAATTAAATACTTAGAGAACACACCCTTATGAGTGGCCCATAATTACATGAAAACAGATACGATTTACATGTGAATCAATAGGTAAAGAAAGTCGCGAGCATGACTAATAGCCAATTTTACATGTAATCCTTGGCAGATTACATGTAAATCAAATCATATAAAGAGGACATCCCTATGAGTGCCCAAGAATTACATGAAAACTATATGTGATTACATGTAAATTAATAAAGCCATATCCTTTACACCCAAGCCAGTTCCCTTACACCATAAGCCAGAAGCCTTGCATTCAAAGTCAGAACCCTTGCAACCTTGCCAGAACTCTTGCACCCAAAGTT